AGTGTCAAAAAAGAGGCTGTCATTCAATGATAGTGGGAAACAAGAAGCTGCCTTCATCACTGCAGTCCACACAACTAGTCTTTCCAAATCAAGCAAGAGCTGGTCTTTGCAGGATTTGGGGACACAAGGAGTCCTGGCATAGGACGTTCAGAAGGAGGAGGTTTGGGAATGGTTGCCCTGAGCTGTGGACATGTGCCTATCAGAATAGGACTTTCAGAGGCTGATTCTAAAGCTGTCACTGGTCAGTCAGGGAGACTTTGAGCCAGTCCTGTGACCACTTGTTTGCAGCTTGTGGCCATGGCCAAGGAACATAGATTTGGAGAGTGGGTGGGAAGCTGAAGCATCATCAGCTTCTCAGGAGGACTGGGGGCTTCTAGAAGGCAGGGAGGTGTCCTGATCATTCCGTGTGCGTGGCATCTCGTACGGTATCTGACACTTGATGAGCACTCATCAAACAAGGCTAGGCAAATGGTTGCTGCCCTCTTTCCAGGGCTTTGGGATTCTTTATGCTCATGTTTGTGTGTTCTCAGGGCATTCGCTGTAAATCCCCAGTGTTTGGGAACCACTGGCTGACCTCACTTTGTTCCAGCGCATTTTAATTAGATCTTAGACCCAGTGCCAAAAATGAGAATGAGTGTGTGTGTGTGTGTGTGTGTGTGTGTGTGAGAGAGAGAGAGAGAGAGAGACTGAGAGAGACTGACTTGGGGGAATGGGGTCAAGGCAAAAGGGTTGACCTTGAACTGACACTTTACCTTTCAGACTAAGGGGAGGGAAGCCAGGATGAATAGTGTGATATAAATAATTGGGGAATGTTGAGAGAGACAGGGGGGAGGGCCTTAGGTTTTCAATAATGTAGGAGATGAGGTCACCCGCTAGCCTAAGGAGAGTTGGGGCTGGTAAGGGGAGCGTTAATTTATCATATAATAACAGTAATAGGCAAAATTTGTTAAGTACTGGTCAGGAATAGTTAATATTATTAGAGCTCATGGGGACCCAAGGTTCCTGAAACATTGAGGACACCATGGGAGCTGAAACCCTAGGCTGGTCATGGAGGCTCCAGAGTATAAGGCTCAGTGATGTGGAGTCCATGCAGAGTTTGCTCTGAGGAGTGAGATGACTGCCGATGATCACTCAGGATAGCCAGGGAGGAAAACAGAACTGTGGAGAAGCTGAGAAGAAAGCTTTTGTGGGGGACTGGATTGGGGGATTTAGGAATAGAGGAGTCCAGAGTCATCCAAAGGACTGTGTGGAGGTGACACTTTCAGTTAGGATGAGGGAGTGCTGGAAGAAGAGAAAGTCTCAACACATGCATAAGTTCAGTGTTGGTTGTGTTGAATTTGAGGTGCTCATAGGCCACATGGGGAAGGTGTCCAGGGGGTATTGTACATTGAAATTTGGAGGTAATTTGGAAAAAATGAATCTTTGAGAGTCAGTAATATGTTGCAACCCCGAGAAGCCATGACACTGTCTAGGGAAAATGTAAAAAGAGCAAAGAGGAGACAGTAGACCTACCTACCCCTTATCATCGCACTCACCCATCCAAACCATTCTAACCACTGTCTGGCATTTATCCATGCATCCCAAATACCTTCCCAACCATCCATTTGTTATTTCATCCACCATTCCTTCTCATCCCCTGCCTCTTCACACTCCTGTCTTATCCATCCGTTCACCTACTCCTCTCTCTCATCCACCATTGTGATCCACGCATCTCCGACCTGTCTGCTCATCCATCCATCCATCCATGCGTGCGTGCATCCACCTGTTCCTCCACTCTATCCATAAACCATCTCATTAATAATTGATAGATTTATATTGCTTATATATCAAAATCATAATGTAAATATATTGGGTTAGACTATCATTAAAATTAACTTTGCCTATTTACTTTTAAAACTATAACTTTTATAACTATAGCTATTAGAAAATTGAAAATTACATGTGCAGCTCACATTTATGACTTGCATTATATTTCTGTTGAGCAATGATAATTTATACCATCCATCACCCATCTACCCATCATCCATCTCTCCATCCATCTACCCATCATTCATCCATCTATGCACTATTCAGCAATCCGCTCATCCAGCCATCCATCATCCAGCCATCATTCATCTGTCCATGCATCCATACATCCTTGTATCATACAGCCCATCTGTTATTCCCTTCCTCCTTTTCATCCACCCACTTATCACATGTGACCCTCCCACAGGTACCTAATTCATATCTGTCACGAACCAGTGACTCTGTGGGTCCAAAGAGTGAAGAAATGGAGGTTTAGAACAGCCAACGTACTTGGCCTGAGATGGGCCAAGACCTGGACTCTCTAAGACCAGGGGCTTTTCACTTTTTACCTTGGCTGCCTATTTGTCCAGGATTCCCTTAAGATTAAAAAAATCCTTTGGGACAACATGGTGTGCTTAGATTGAGGGTGGCTGTTGGACTAGGGGCCCAGGAGCCTCTGTCCCTGAGGGGACCACACAGTGTGGGTAGAGAAGAACCCTGTAGAAGCCTTCTGTGAACATGTCCCTAGTGGCTGTCGTGAAAGGGTTATCCTTACACATTCGATATTTGCAAAAATGTGGGTTCCTTCAGATTCCAAAGCTCATTTCCATGACAAAACTCTTGGGAAGAGAAGATGAAGGCCTGGCTTTTGCAGAACAATCTTCCAGCTGTAATGAGGACTGAAGATGGCAGTGGGAAAGGGAATTATAATTAGAATCTGAAACGGGGAAATTAATCGATTCCGGGCAGTGGCAAGAGGATGTTCTGACATTCCACAGCAATCCGTAGGCTCTTGTTTTCCCCTGTATTTCTTCTTTCCATTTTAAAGCATGCACAAGGTTGTGTGGTGTGCAAAAATGATTTTTGGCTGAGGGACTGATACACTGAGAAGGACGCACAAGATTTCAGCCCCGTGTGTCTTTGCTGAGTTCAGCTGTCACGCACACGCACTGTTTGTGCTCACATTTGCGTGAGTTCTGGTAGAGAGCTGCGGATGTGTGGCCGTTTATGCACATCTGACGCATCCTCCCTCCTTTCCTGCGTGTGCACCCGCCGTGGGAGTGCCCAGTCCTGCACATCTGATATGTGCATTCTTGTGCTCGTGCTCTGTGCACATTGGTTTACGTCGCTCATGGACGTGCGACATGTGTGGCTCAGTGCTCTGAACACCGAGTTGTGCATGACATGGGTCCATGTAAACATGTCCATATAAATGTGTGTGTTCCATACCTGCGTCTACCACATGCATCGCCTACCTCTGTGTTCACCTGCATAGCTTGGGTGACAGTGTAGTGTGAGTGTTTGTATCTGTTCTGTGCACACGTGGAGAGGGAGGTGGCCCTGCTGTGTCTGAGGGACGAGGAGAGTTTGTGATCCCCCTTCTTGCCCAGAAAGAGTCCTATACCTTGGTGTGGAGGAAGCTCAAGGCCTTAGTGCCAGAGGAAGCCTCAGAGCCCCAGGAGGTGGGCTGATAGCAGGTCTGTCCTCTACCTCAGGCCTCTGTTCACAGCTGCTCACCCAGCATGCTCGTGTGCAAGACACTCGGGGATCCAAACTGAGACAAACCAGGCTCTGCCTAGAGCCTCTGCCAACCAAGTCCTCCTTGAAAGCAAGCGCTAGCATGCAGCAGCCCTTTCTTAAATGTTGATTGAATAAAAGAGTGAATAAATGAGTTGTCTTGACTTGAGACCTGCTCTGGTGACCTCATGGGAATCCACTGCCTACCCAGGTGTCTGATTCCCCCTTACCCCCAATCCAGGGTCTCTTTTACTAAGCAATAGGGCCACTGCTCACCATGGGAACTCCTTTCTCTCCTGAGCCTCCAGCACACTCATCAACCAACTAATATGTGCTGGATTCCAGGCCAACTGTTGATGACAGTTAATTGTTCAATTAAGACCAAATGGCCCATTTTCCCACCTGCTATGAGCACTGGCTGCCAATGGCCCTCAGTGGAGATAGCCCACTGGATAATTGTCCCTGGCCCAATGGGGACCACCTTGCTCAGAAGGTTGTACCACTCCATGACTCCCTAAGGGCAGCCCACATCAGTGACTGATCTACATGGACACAAAAGTCCCTGCTTTGTGCTGGGACTAAGTTTGCCACCATGGGATCAGGCTGAAGTGAGTCTGTAGCTGAGACGTCCTTGCCTGGCTCTAACCACTGCCCTGCCCTGCCCTTTCCCCCCTCCTACTCTTGCAGGTTATTCCTAAAGAATAACACATGCATTTGAACCTTTGCCTCAGGCTCTGCTTCTGGGGAACCTTGTCTAAGATACCTGTCTCAAAGGACAGGAACTACCTGGAATGGAGTTCATGTTGAGTTCAGTGCTCTAAATTGCAATATCCTACAAAGGGGGCTATTGTCATTATCCATTCTGGCAGATGAGGAACCTTGAAAGTTTAGACCCCAGCTCAAGATCACACACCAGGGTGAGGAGGGAGCAGAGGCTCAAGGGCCTACATTTCTTCCACTGCACCTGCCCCATTGTGAGAATTCTTCCTGAATCCAGACATGGTGGCCTCTCAAACACAAGATTGTTGTTCCTCTGTGTGGTTTCTACTCCAGTGTCCATTGTCTATGGCCACAGGTGGCCTTAGGGGCTGGAATAGGTACAGGAGGTTTACCCTCACCTCCTGTACGTAGGATTCCAGTCTTAGGGATTTTCTGGTTGCGTTGGCCATGAGGTGCTTATATACTTCCAGGGCTGGGAGGCTCAATGTGTGACAAGGAGCCTGCTGTGCTGTGGAGAAGGTGTGGAAAGGGTTTCTAGTCTTCATTGTACCTGTGATTAATGGTGCTAACCTGGAGCCCTGGGGATCCTCAGAATGGGGCAGTTCCTTCCACCCTGCTGAAATGGGACCTCGGGCATCATGGGCTCCAGCTTTTGCTCAGCCCCCTCGCCTCACACAGTCCCCTGGCCTCCCTGGCTGCTTCTCCTATGCCTCCCCAAGAGCATTTTAATCAGTGCTGCTTCTCTCTCTCTGTTCCAGTTTGATGGTGACAGTGCCTACGTGGGGATGAGTGACGGAAACCCAGAGCTCCTGTCAACCAGCCAGGTGGGTGCCCCTCCTCCCTGAGCGGGGGTCGAAGCCTTGGACTGACTGGAGCTGAGCTGCTCCTGGGGTGGAGGCAGTTGGGCTGCAGAACTGGGGGGCACAGCCTGCTACTGTCCTCTCTAAAGTGTTCGAGAATATCAGTTGAGTCCTTAAAAGGGACAATCAATCTGGAATAGAGTGCTTTCTGGAAATCAACTCTCTGGCTACTGGTGGCTTAAAATGAGCCTCATCAGGAGCTCCATGACACTTGAAATGAATCGCTCACATCCTCTGTGCTCAGGGCAAGTTTTAGTAGCAGTAAGTCAGGGTGTTTGGTGCTCCATGGTGCTGCCTGCTTCCTGCACAGCATCCATGGGGACATGCTTTTGTGTGTGTGTGTGTGTGTGAAGATACAGTGTTCTCTTGCCTGCCTGGTGTCAGAGGCCACTGGGAAGCTGTGGACATGGCATAGAGGGAAGAGAGCAGAGGCTTTCTGAAAGGTTTTCTCTAGTGGTCAAAGGGGCGAAGTATTCCTTGGGAAGGGCTGTCCCAACCCAGCCCAGCCCTCTGAGGGTCACAGATGCCAAATGGAACAAGATTTTCCACAGAGCTAAAAGTTAACATTTCTCTCAGCAGGGAGCATCCTTAGTACAGACTGGGACACTGGAGAGGGCCCTCACTGCAAGTTGGGAGGGTCCCCAATCAGGCTGGGACACTAGGCAGGGTCCCACTGGAGGCTGAAATGCCGGGTCATCTCTGTATCTATGTGATAACTTTGTTGCTGTCTGAATTCCACACTCATGACCTCCATGGCGGAAGGGCGGCTCTCTCCTACTCACTACTGTGCACCCCAGTGAGGTAGAGTCTGACACTCAGAAGCCACTTAGGAAATATTTGTGATCCTTCTTTTTTCTGAACTTTGCTTTTCCTATGTGATTGGACTTCCAGATTTTTTTTTGTGCTATCATCCAGAGGGTTCTCTAACTAACACTTTATGAAGAAGACATTAGAATTCTCTGAGATTAACCAAGTCTACCCAGTGTCCTGAGCCAACCTTCCTGTGAGCAAAATTCACAAAAGCAATCCAGAAAACCCCTCCCCCTTTTTGCAGTACTAGAGATTGAACCCTGAACCTCATACATGCTAGGCAATGCTCTTGCCCCAAGAACTTTTGTTTTTGAGATAGAGTCTCACTAACTTTTGTCCATTCTGGCTTTGAACCTGAATTCCTCCTGCCTCTGTCTCCTCAACAACTGGGATTATAGGCATGAGCTACCATGCTGGTACTGACTCACAGTGTGTTAGCTTTGCTGCATAATGAACACTTTGAATGTAGTGGATTGAAAAAATATTTATCTAGTTCATGCATCCTTTGGTAGCAGTTTGGCTGGGTTCAGCTTGGGGGCGGTGCTCTTCGAATCACTTGAATGACAGCAGTAAGCTCCAGGGTAGCCTGTGCTGGCTGGGATAGGGTTCGCTGCTGCTTCACAGGGGCTCTTCTTCTCTGGAAGCTGTACACAGGAGGGGGATGGGTTCCCGGAGCAAGGGTGGACATGCAAGATCTCTGGAGGTCTACACTTGGGCATAGCACATCATTACTTCCAGCTCTTTTTTACTGGTCAAAGCCAGTCACGGGACCAGTCTAGACTCAAGGAGTGGAGAAATGGACACAGGAGGAGCTGCAAAGTATTGTGGTCCTTTTACAAACCACCCCATGTGGGAAACAGGGGATGTGATGCATGCTGATTTTGCTGAAAAATAATTCAGACTCTTTTGGAGCAGTCCTGCTGGCCTCCCATCTTTCACGGCAAGAGTTCTGTATGTTTCCTTCTAGCATTTTCTCCGGAGTGCCCACTCACAGGCACATGAACACCCTCTCGCCATGTGTTGCCTCATCAACTGCGGGAATTGTATTGTCCGAGTTACTTAAGGACTGAAAGACATGTGGGCAAAATGAAGGTCTCGTAGCCAACAGAGGATCCCAAGACTAAACACTCCAAATGTCATAGGATATACTGAATAAATACAGTTTATGAGTGTAGTCAAATAGCAGGTTTGCCTACCTGGTGAGCAAATGTATCTCGGGCACCTAAAATGTGCAAGCTTCTGGATATGAGTGGGAAGGCATTTTTGGAAAGCATTTGCTTCCAGGACATCCAATTTTATCACATGACAAACCTGCTCTTTAATTCAGTACTTCTCCTGAGATGCCATCTTCTTTACTTAGAAACTGCAACTTAGACTGAGGCTCCCGTGGGTATGCATTAGCCAACTGTGTCCTTTTTAAAACTGTGTTTCAAACCAGCTCTTAAGGGCTCTAAGTTGCTTTTGCATCTGCACGCTCTACTGTTTGGTGTTTTCAAGTCTTCACAAAATTTCTGCGTAGCTGCCTCAGCTTTCATAAATTATTACTCCTGAACCCATACTTGTGTTTCTTTGGTACCAGACTTGCCTGGGAGGGCTGAGAATGGCAGGGTTGCAGCCTCTGGGGCTGGAGGGCCAGAATGGATCAGCTCTGCCCTGCCGACACCAGACTCTGTCCAGGAGCTATGGGGATTGGTATTTCCTTCTTCCTGGGAAGAGATGAAGAGGAAATGAAGTAGGTTCTGGCCTCCACAGACCTGGGTTCATCTTCTAGCTCTTTCATGCCCTTGCATGGGCCAGATGCCCTAATGCAAGCAGTGTCAGCTTCCTACCTAGTGGAAACAGTGATGCTTGCTTTCTAGGGTCCTGGGGGACATAAATGAGGTGAGACTGTGGGCTCTGGTGGCACACTAGATTCTCTTTGACCAACCAATGCCCCCATGTCCAGCTTCTATGAGTGTGCACCACCTACTTCTCTGGAACATTGCCCTCTGCCAGTGGGAACCATGTACAGAAGGAGGGTGGGGAGTGGTCTGAAAGCCAACCTCATTTTCTCAAAGGTGTAACTCCCCATGGAGCTCCAGAAGACTGCATCCTTGCTCAGCCCTACCCTGCCCTTCCTCTCCCTCCTCTGCCATGACCCTCCTGCACTGGGTCCTCTTCATAGGAATCCCCGCCTCAGGCTCCACTTCGAGGGAATCTAAACTAAGAGCATATGCAAAGCACCAGAGTTCAGAAAAACTAGCTGTGGCTCATTCTCGTTGTGTTTATTACCATAAGTAATGCTTTGGTCACACAAGACAAGTCTCTGGTCACTCCTGTGTCTTTATAGACCCTGTTTCTTCTGATGGGAACTCCCTACTTATTTCCCCCCAACAAATGTCCGTGTTCCTTTGGGGCCACTGCAAATGTCACTCCTCATGACACTGTCCTGACTGTGGTGAGTTTTCCACTCTTTTGACTCTAAATCCGACTTCTGCTATAAATCTTTTTCCTAAGAATTATTAAGAACTTGTGTGCATGTGTGAGAATGGAACTGGAACAGACAGAATCAGGACCAAGTGGCTGAGATTAAATGACAAGATCAGATTTGCAGTTTTAGAAGCTCCAATAGTATGAGTGGATTTAGGGAGACCAAGTGGGAGGATGTGGTAAGAGACCTAGTGAAGGATCACCTTGTCCTAGATGCAGTAGAGGCAGAGGAGATGGAGAGCGATAAAGTTGGAGGGTGTCTCAGAAAGTCAAGTTGGTAGGAAGTGAGGTTGATGGACCTAGAGGAGGAGAGAAATGGGGGGTACTGATGACTCCCAGGCTCCTAGCATGAGCCAGTTTTCCAGCAGGATAGTACCATCTTCTGAGGTGGGGAAAGTCTGGAGAGGTGCAGATTTGATGAAGTCAAACTTGGACATGTGACATTTGAGGTGCTCATTTAAGTGGGGATGTCCACGTGGGTAGATGGCCGTCCAAGACTGGAGCTCATGGGAGAGGTAAATTGAAAATCCTCAGCCCATGGTGTCAGAACCCTGGGGGTGGATGACAATTATGGAGACAAAGGAAAGAGTGGGAAGAGCAGAGGATCCATGACCTTAAATGCTGAGTACCAGTGTCTGAATGCAAAGTGAAGAGGAGGAGCACTGTAGTTGGAGACGGAGTGGTTTGGCAAGTAAGAGAGCATGGAGCCTTAGAAACCAAGGGCAAAGAAACTTAAGAAGGGAAGAGGGTCTAGGGAAAATCTGGATTTGCAGCTCCTTCCCTATCAAAAGATAATTTTTAAATAAATCAGATTTAAATGTACTCAAAGAAACCATAAAGGCACCAGCAAAACAGCCTTTAATAGACTACAATTTAGAGCAGAGAAGACATTTCTATGGCTCAAAGCCTTAGAAGAAAAGCCTTTAAAATTGGACCATAAACTAACAAAAACCAACTTTTTAATGACCAAAACAGCATATGTATAGTAAAAAGAAAAAAGGAAAATTAGAATAAAAAGAATATGTTCAATTTACAACACAGTTAAAGGGGTAACTTTCTTACTACATAGTTACCAGAAATCAACTCAGTGCCCTGGTAGAGAAAAGGGAAGGAGATGTGAGCCAATAGTTGCAGAAAAGGAAATACAGATGGATTTTAAGTATATGAATAGATGCTAAGAATAGTTCCTAAGAGAAACAAATTAAAACTGCCATTTTTCACCTGTCAGATTGACAAAAACCCAAGTTTGATAAGACATTCTGTCAGAGTACTTATGGAAAAACAGATTTGTACATTGTTATTGGAGAATAAATTGGTGTGATCCTGAAGGAGGGTGGACTGTCACCATTTATCAAAATTGTAAATGCCTTGAACTTTAACCCAGGAATTCTCCTTTAGGAACTATATCCCTGGATGCATGTGTACACATGAAAAATGACATGGTGAAGATTATTCGCTGTGTTATCATTTGTAATGACATGAAACTGGAAACAACCTAAATATCCAACAGCAGGGGACTAGTTAAATAATTTTGTGCTATGTGGCTCTAAGGAAAGAATGAGGAAACTGAAATGATATGGAAGTTCTTGAGATACATTACTTGCAGAAAAAAGCAAGGTCTAAAACAGTAAGTTCAGTATGTTACTGTTTATGAGAAAAAGAAGATAAAAAAATGTATGTTTTTG